TATTGAAAAAAAAAAAAGTAAAAAAAAAAAAAAAGTAAAAACAAAAACAAAAAACAAAGCTCTATGTTCTGAACCACTACTGAAACTGCAGAATAGAGACGGATGTGTGCAGATTTCCAAAATGTGCACAACACATGTTCTCTCGGATGGATGGAGGTTACAAGGGAACAAATTTACGCTCCAAAATTCATAGCTTCCCATGTGAATTTTGTCCTCCAAAATGCCATGTCATGGATGGATAAGATTTAAGTATGGGAGTATACAATTGCACCCCAAATGGTATTTCACATCTTATGAAGTAGGAGTCCTCCGACAGTGAAATAAATTACAGAATTGAAAAGTGGTCCCGTTTATTTACTCGCCAACTTCAACAGGGTTCCCAGGAACCTTGAAACTTTGGAAATACCTGCCATCAGCAATATAGAGACCAACCAATCAACCAATCAATAAATCAACCAATTAATAAATCAATGAATCAAATCAATCACTTCAATCAAATCAAATCAAATCAATCAAATGATTGAAATCACATAAATCAATCAAATCAATAAAATGAAAATCAAATCAAATCAATCAGATCAAGCACGCAATCAATGAATCGATATCGATGAAATATTTCAAATATATCAATCAATCAAATCAATTAAATCAACCAATCAGTCAATCAGAAATGGATCAAGAAGTCAGTCAATCAACCAATCAGTAAATCAAATCAGCAAATCGATCAAATCAATCAAATCAATCCAATCAATCAAATCAAATCAAATCAAATCAAACCAAATCAAATCAAATCAAATCAAACCGATGAGACAAATCAGTCAAATCAAATCAAATCAATCAATCAAGAATCGACAAATACGATCAATGAAATCAATGGAGATTTCCAGACAGAAAGAGAAACAACACAAAGGAGATGATCAAAATGGTGATCCTAGCAAGAACAAAAACAGCACCTATACTTTTCATAAACAGCTGCATGCAAACTGTTTTCTCTTTTTTGAAAAGGGTCACCTGCATCATGCTCCTTGGTAGTGAAAGTCCAAACTAGGTTCCTAACACTTCTCCTACTGTATAGAGTGAGAAAAAGACACACAAAAAAAAATTAGGCAGATAGGACCAACCGACCCTATTCTATTCAGGTGCGAAATTCAGGACCACACAATCTGTCTGTTGCCATTTGCAGCATTTCTGGCTGCCTTTTCCTGATCTTTTTCTTCATCCACAAACTTGAATACCTTTTCCTCCTCTTCCTCTTCCTCTTCCTCTTCCTCCTCCTCCTCCTCCTCCTCCTCCTCCTCCTCCGCCTCCTCTTCTCCTTTGCCTGTTATGTCCGTGACCTTTACTTGGATAGAGTACACACAAGAGAAGGTACCCAATCATGTCTCACAACCAAAAAGAGATGAGTGGACACTGGACAGTGGAGAGTCTGTGGAGATGCTTTGAATTAAAAAGGGCGCAATAGGCAAAGGAGAGGAGGAGAATGGGGAGCATGAGCAGGAGTAGTTGGTAGAGAAGGAACCCAAGTTCGTGGATCATGTCTCACAACCAAAAAGAGTCTGACACAAGTACCGATCTTTTTGTCATCCACAAACTTGGGTTCCTTCTCTACCAACTACTCCTGCTCATGCCCCCCATTCTCCTCCTCTCCTTTGCCTATTGCGCCCTTTGTAATTTAGTTGTGTAAAGTACACTGAAGAGGAACACAGGGCAAAGCATCTCCACAGACTCTCCACTGTCCAGTGTCCTCTCATCTCTTTTTTTTAAAAAAAAGAAAAAAAAAAGGAAAAAAAAGACAGACCCCTGTGCCGAGGACTGAGGAGAAGTTAGCCGTGCCACAGAGTGTTAAGTGAGAACTTCTTCTTCTTCTTCTTCTTCTTCTTCTTCTTCTTCTTCTTTGTCTTCTGCTTTCTGGTGAAAAGAAGGTACATGCATCACCCACATCTCTCTTCCTCCCTCATCCATTCTTCTTTTCAGCAAAAAGAGGGGGTACGAGCAGCCCCTGCTCACCACTCGCACGGGGTTGTGTGAGTGAGGGCTGCTGATACCCCTAAGCCACCCTCGATAGTCAATAGCTATAGTAGGTTCTGACCAGCTAGATTGTTCTTTGCTGTTTGCAGTTTTTAGATATAAAGTATATCTAATTACATAAAGACTATAGTAAAGTACTGTACTATGATATAAAGCATGGTTGTCCGGGTCGGGATCCAGACAGTCCGGTCTGGATGTCCGGATCTGGTGTCCGGTTTGCGGGGTCCGGTTGGGCCCCATTTCTAGAAAATTCGATTTTTTTGGTGGGGGTAACCAGACGATTTTCCAGTGCCTGGTGGACCCCCGAAAACTGTTGACACAGTTTTTGGTGGACCGTTAGGCCAACTGGACCGTCCCTGAAGGGCCTGTACTTGCAATCTTGGGTGAGCTTCAGCGGGCCAAGGAGAACTGGTTGTGTGTGTGTGTGTGTGTGTGTGTGTGTGTGACACTGTGTGTGCCATCCAGTGTTGTTGAATCCCGGCCCCGGGGCCCCGGCGGGGTTACAGGGGTCCGGGGTTGGGCACCCCTGGCCCCGGGTCCGGACCGGCTCCCCCCACACACAAAAAAAAAAGTGGGGGGTGTACAGCGAGAGCACGCACCTCCTTATTGGTAATATCAGCCTTGGGCACTGGGCCCGTTAAAAAAAAAAGAAAAAAAAGAAAAGAAAAAGAAAAAGAAAAAGAAAAAGAAAAAAAAAAGAGAGAGCATGCACCCCATGGGCTAAACCCCCAAAATGGGGTTTTGTGCCCCACCCCGGACCCCCCCGGGGCCACACCCACCAGTGGTGGGACCGGGGTGGCCCTGGGTGCGGGCCCGGGGGCGAGGCCAACAACCGACGG